TCCAACAACGACGGTTCTTCAGAACAGATGGACCCCAGCGAGATCGCTGAACTCATGGTTGCAGACGAAGAGGACTTCCCTAGCGGTTCCCTCTCTCGTTCCCGAGATCGAACATCGTCAGGAAGACGACAACGATATCAAGAAGCTCCTCAGGACAAGCCAAACGACTACAAGAAGCAATCTTTCCCCAGAGGGGAAAAGTCTACGACTTAGTAGTTAAGGACGAGAAAATCGTCGACCTAAAACTATGCAGAAGAAGCTAGTTGAATGTTACCATGGTGTGCTGATGCATCCTGGCGAACTCGCACGGAACTAACCATCAGCCAACACTACACTGGAAAGGGCTGCGCAGGACTGTGCAGGCCGTATGTCAGCGTTGCCAAAGCTGCCAGATGAAAAAACCAAGACGCCTAAGCTGGGATTGATGCCCCAAAGACTTGCGAGGAAACCCTTGGGAAAGACTAGTATTGACCTGATAGGCCCTTACAACGTCGGGGATCCAAGAAAAAGAATTCCTGCACACTTCATTGCTTGACAATGATTGATTCCGTAACCGGATGGTTCGAGATTGCAGAGATCTGCTCCAAGGCAGCAAACGAAGTAGCCATCGTCCTAGAACAAACGTGGCTTACTCGGTATCCATGGCCTGCTGAGGTTATCATGGATAGAGGACGTGAGTTTCGCGCAGAGGTCGAAAAACACTCCGGGATGAATATGGACTTCTCGCAAGTTCATTACCACGCGTAACCCTCAAACCAACTCTATGGTCGAGCGTGCTCATCAAACCATACGTAACTTGATCGCTGTTCAAAACATCAAGTGCCAAGACGACCTCGTGAATGGATCCTGGGATGGAGTCCTCACGGCGGTCGCTTTGCAATGAATGCCACGAATTCATACCACCTTGCGTGCAACGCCCGCCACGCTCGTTTCAATCGTGACGCGATTCACAACGTCCGTTCGAAGCCAACTGGAAGTACATTAAGGAACGTCGCCAACGACTAACCAACAAAACAACGATAGGGAAAACGCAACGCGTGTCCCTCATCAATACAATGTCAACGATACTGTGATGATTCAACAGTATCAGCACCGCAAGTACGGTCAGCCAAGTACAAAGGTCCTTACACTATGACCGAGTCAATGACAATGGCACTGTACGGCTCCAACATGCTACCGCCAAGGCGGCACAGTCTACCAGACTTGGAACATAAGGTATATACACCCATACAAGGCCTGATCCCCTTGTAGGATTGCCATCGTGCGACGCACATGCTACATCCAAATCTCATGAGAGTGCCCGCACTTTAATCATATGTTCTCCTTGTCCGACTGCTGTTGCGCCTTCTGTGACCCTTGTCAGGGGGCGAATGCAATACACGGCTCTTAGCCTTATTCGCGATCCATCCTAGATAGGTTTGAGTTCGACTCATGACCGAGTCTCTCGTGAATAGTCATTTAGAGACAGGGTTCCAATGACCGCGCTAGTCATACTAGGTTGATGATGAAACATCGCTCTAGAGATTTAGCCAGCGTGGAGTACTTCCACGCTACTAGATCCAGGCTAGACAAACCTTCCACGCGTTCCGTTTTAGGATCGTGGAGAGACGTAGGATTACTACACAACCTACTCTATCACACTTTATAGTCTCCCGCGGGAAGCCAGATCTACGGTCCTTTGATGATGATCTCTCTCGTTGATTAGTTTTCATAGCTTTCTAATCTCTCTCATAACTTTCATTCTCTCAAACTCAAAACACTCGAAAGATCTTTACACTAGCTTTTAGCGTAGTGCAGAGTGTTATATATATTTTGACTGAAGGTGGAGAAGAGATAGATAATGATGCGATTGGATACCGGCACGCTACCACCACTACACGAGTGAAGCATTGGATCCCTCTCTAGCAAGCATACGGTCAATGGGTGACCGAGTGACAGTCGAGTCCAGTCAAGTCAGAGTCGATCAGCTGCACCACTACCACGGTACCGGTAGCGGCCATTCAAATTATACCAGCTTGGGAAGATTTTCTTTTTTCGGCTAATGGCAGTCAAGTTGGTGAATTTTGAAGAGCAAGAGAAAGTCTCCAGTTGTCTTCAGCTTGTTGTTTCCTATGCTGCACTGCCGACCGCAGATGAATTACCAATGTCCACGATCTATGGATCGATCCGCCGAATAGCAACAGAGGAGAGGTGGATCGATAATTCGGAGGCTGTTAACTCCAGCCTGAACAGATATCGTCATCGAGTCGTTGCATGGCAACAATCAACCAGAGGCATCCTGCCAATGCACCAATGCAAGCTACACGACAACACAATAGCAGAGTGGAACTCCTTGATGGGAGTCGTACCTCCTTTGAATTTCCTAGTGTTTTTGTGGTGATTCCTGTCGGTGCCTATTTTACTGCATGCACGAGTTCTACCAATAGTTGGATTTGGCTAAGATGACAACGACGTGATTGTATACTCGAAATATACCATAAGATCACTATTACTATAGCTACGAGTAGAGAATAGACTTACATAAATAGGATATGAATTGGAAACAAAAAGTCGCATGTAACCTTGATTGTGGATTGGTCCATTGCGTCCACCCTTTTTTAGAGGATGGATCGTTGCCTTTCGGCCAATGAATCACAATTTTTGAATCCTTTTCAGTGCATTGATTGGCGCCTCACAGCAAGCTTCTTCTTCCACGGAGCGATCGACCATGACGCCGCTTTCACGAGCAAACGCAACAACGACAATTGTTCTTGGGTGAACGACACATTCAACACTTTCTCCGTGATCATGGGGGTATCTACAATTTTGGAATGGTAGTGATAGTGGTAGCTGGCAGCCACTGTTGGCAATGGCAGCAGTTGTTGGGTGCATTTTTCCTTTAGCTGATGGATTTGATTCCAACTGTGCCATAGTTGTCCACAAACACCACCAAAGTCTTCTTCCCACACACTTTTACTGCACAGTTTGAACCACTCTGGTGTCCGACACGGATGGCATCGAGGTTCTCCATACCATCAGGCCAAAGGACAGGGTTTGTGTGAGGTTTTCGTGGAGGGAAAGTCTGACTGCATGCAGTGTTTGCTTCTTGGATGGCATTGTTGGGAGGGAATGCATGGCTGTTGTGATGAATGAGTGGAAGAAGTGCTTCTTGTGAATGAATGAGTGGGATTTTGCTTGTCTTGGTGGTGCGAGTAGACAGCTCGTGGTGGCTGGGTTGTAATAGTACTCTTCCAACTGGAGTAAACCTGTGCTCTTGCAACATCTTCCATTCAGTGCTTTGGTGCTTCCAATGTCAACAGCGCTGGCATGGCACCATTGGTACTATTCCCAGCCCTTTTGTCATGGTCACAGAACATGACGGGTGGTACTTCGTTCCTTGGTGCTTCTGCATGCTGAAAATTTTGATGGCAGCGCCGCTTTGGGAGGTGGTGTTGATGCTTCTGGCAGACCTTCTTCAGCTTCTTGGATGCCGTTATTGGAGTAAACTAAGTACTTGTGCTCTTCCAATAGTCTACTCGCTAGTACTAGTAGTAGAGCTAGTAGAGTCGCTGTGGTTGGTGTTGGCTGGTGGCATCATGTTGACGTAATGGCGGGAATTTGGAGCTTTTTGAATTCCTGCTGCGACCATGACTGGACCAGTCCTGTGAAAGAACTCCATGGAGCCTCATGCCCTTTCCCACCATCTTACTAAACCCTAACCCCCTTTCGACACCGTGAAAGTACCGGTATTCACGTTTCCAGAAACTCCCGGGTCTCAGATCCAGACCCCAAACAGTCCATTTGTTTTGCCATGCTTTGCCACACAAAACTTTAGAAGTCACTTTGCAAACTGGAAGTCGACCAAAAGAAGAAAAATGAACAGCAGCAACGACGAGTTCCTCAACCAATCCCAGCAGTTCGAGGATCAGTGTGAAAAGGCAGCCGACGCGATTGCCGAGGCCGATGTTCTTGTCCTGGTGACTGGAGCTGGATGGGGTGCGGACAGCGGCCTCAAGGTGTTCGCGGAAGTCGCAAAGATCCCTGCATACCAGAAGCGCGGTATGCAGTACGCTGATGCCTCCAAGCCGGAATTGATCGTCAAAGATCCAGAGTTGTTTTATGGTTTTTGGGGCGATGCGTTTAATACCTATCGAACAACCAAGCCCCACGAAGGGTTTGATATCGTGGCGCGATGGCGCGACGACAAGAACCAAGCGAATGGTCACATGGTGGCAAACAAGATCCGTGACAGAGTGAAGGAAAAAGTGGAGGCGCGCTGTCCCTTTCAAGATGAAAAAACAAAGCGACAAACTCCCTACGAAGCGGATGGGACTTCTGGAGCGTTCTTTGCCTTTACATCCAACGTAGATGCCCACCACTATGACGTCTTTGAAGCACACGAAATTCATGATTGTCACGGAAGCGTCGAGCTGTGGCAGTGCTCGGATAGGGATTGTGACTCGGGTATTTGGAGGGCCCCCACTGAATTCATGTTTAATGTTGACCAGGAAACAATGCTGGCCCCCTCCAAGAAGCGCGAGGCGAGTGACACCAGTCTCCGCAACGGCGGACTTTTGAATCTACCAGAATCATCTGACAAGGTCGGTTGGTATCAGGACGACAGTGAATCCAACTGGCCAAAATGTGGTCATTGCCAAAAGTTGGGTCTTTCACGGCTGGCGAGGCCCAGCATCCTCATGTTTGGAGACCACGGGTGGAAATGGGATTTGTCTCAGGAGATTAGATGGGATCTGTGGAGGGAGACAATTGTTGAGATGGCCACAAGTGTTAATGTCTGTATCGTTGAAGTTGGGTGTGGTACGACGGTGGCAACTTGCAGAAACACTTCTGAATATTTCATTCGGGATCTCCTCGATAAAGGTGGCAGAGCTTCGCTAGTGCGCATCAACCCGGATTTCCCTTCCACCACAGACCCCACCATCCAGAAAAACATCACCCCAATCATGTCAACAGGTCTCAAAGCCGTGATGAAGATCGATCAATTGTACGCAGAAAGGCACGGGAAGTCGTAATGTGAAGGACTTCGCTGAGGACATCACATCAGTCCAATTAAATTTTTAAAAAGATCGAGCATGACTAGTTATTGAAATAGGTATGTACTGGGACCAGCCAGCACCGAGGTTAGTGATGAACTACGGTATTTCCTAGAATTTGGGACCTTTTATCCTGCTTTTGGCTCTTGCGGGGCTCTATGATTCTATTTAGTGCCCATCGTACCGAGCAAGTCGCCACCCTCGGCTTCGATGCAATCATACATCTTTCCTTCACCAGGAATTGCGTCGGCGCCTGTCCCGAACAGCTTCTTGCGGTCAATAATCAGTTCAAACTCTTCATCACTGATCTTGATGTCCTCAACGTCGCCTCCCTTGGCCTGCAAGTCCTGAACATCACTCTTCAGCAACGAACTAAGGTCCTGAAACGTCAAATCTCCTCTGGAACGACGACCGGCTTTGCGAAAGTCACCACCAGCAATCGTCATACGCTCCAACTTCTTCTTGGAGATTTGCTTCTCCATCATGACAATGTCGACAGAGTTCGTAGTGAGCAGGCGGTAGATGGCGACAGGTCTGGTTTGTCCCATTCTGTGGCATCGGTCCATGGCCCTGCCATCCAATTTACGCAAGACGACGTGTTAGACATTCACCAGCTGTCCAAGGAAAACTATTCACAATTGCAAATATGTGGCACTTACTGTGCATCACTAAAAGGATTCCAATCACTGTGAAGTATCAAACAGGAAACTGGATGTTAGGAAGGCACATGTTGTGTTGGGGGGTTAAGCTGGTGGGAAAGGACAGCACGAACGTACCTATCAAAGATGATGCAGGTATCAGCACCCGTAAGGTTGATTCCCAGTCCGCCTGCACGCGTACTCAGCATGAATACAAACACACGATCATCAGCTTCGTTCCTGGTTCCATTTTTCCCACTGGTCTTTTCCGCATTGAAGACATCCATTTGTCTCTGTCGTTCGTCGATCTTTGTGCTTCCGTCAATTCGGCAGTAGTTCCACTTTCGGAAGAGCATGTAATCTTCCAGGATGTTGAGGACGGCTGTCATTTGACTAAAGACCAAGACTTGATGCCCATCCTTGTGAAGACGTGTTAGCATCCTGTCCAACAAGGCAAACTTTCCACTGGCTCGGACAAGAAGCTGTGGGTGAGAGGTTCCCAAATGAATACCAGTTGCCGGGTCAATAGGTTCACCAAAGAGGAAAGGATGATTGATATTCTTCCGATGGTTCATCATTTTGTTGGTCTGACTTAAGGTCCTGCCTTGCTCGATACCTTGGTTCATGAGAGTGTCGCGTAGTGTTCCTTTCTCGATGAGGTCAGCGTACCCGGCCTGCAGCTTTGAAATTCCAGAATACACGATAACCTCCCGCTTAGGGGGCATCTCCTGCAAAACATCGGCTTTGATACGACGGAGGAGGAAAGGACGCAGGATCTCATGCAGCTTTGTCACTGTTTGGTTCTTTCGCTGCTCCAAAACGATGGATTGTTCGTCTGTTCCACCCCGATTCTTTTGACCAATGTCTTTGAATCCAAACCATGATTGGAACACTGACAGATCGTCAAAGATGTTCGGATTGACAAAGTTCAAAAGACTCCACAGCTCGTCAAGCGTATCTGAACAGGTCGTCACACATGGTTAGAGTATGCACGTCCTTCCAGCAGGCACCGACACGTTCAAAGATCAACTCACTCTGAATGGGTGTTCCAGACAGCAACAACCTGTTGTCCGCTTTCAACCGCTTCAATGACGAAAGCAGAGTACAGCGATGATTCTTCAGCCTATGCCCTTCATCTACAATGAGATAGGTGAAGTTGCACAGCTTTTCCAGCTTGGTTTGATCTCGGATAGCCACTTCATACGACGTCACGATGAATGGAAAAGTTGGCGTCTTTCTCATCTTGGGATTCATATGCGTTTTCATCATTTGCTCCCTTTCTGGCCCCGTTCCATGATATCGCACAACTGGCCGTTCAGGCAACCACTTTTCAAACTCACGAACCCAATTAGGAAGTGTCGCAAGGGGTGCAACGACGAGGAAGGGACCATTCACTCCCTGTGTCAAAAGGTGAGCAATCAAGGCGATCACTTGGATAGTCTTCCCGAGACCCATCTCTAAAAGCAAACCAGCAGTCCGTGAGCTCAGTTTCGGCTCTGTGCCATATCATCCCTCCTACCAGCTAAGCAATGCTGTAATTTCCTTACCATCCGCTAAGATTCCAGAGACTCCATTCTCAAAGAGCGACGCCAACCAACGGACTCCTTCCAATTGATAACCCTTCAAAACACATCCCTTGGCCAGATTGGGCGGTTGCGTAAAGATGATCTTTTCTCCACCTTTTCGGTTTTTGGCATCTTTGAGCTGGGCTGACTTGAGGGCATCCGCACTGGCTCCATTATTTTTCTTTGATTTTTTGCTTCCTCTGCCTCCCTTGCCTTCGCCTTTTCGTTTCTGGCTTTTCTTTTCCGCCTTGTCTACGGCTTTCTGAGCATCCGCAGTCATGGCAGCCTGCAGCTCGTCCAAGTCTCTGGAAATGAAGCTAGAGTATTGGGAAGCTTTGTTGAGTAGAAACTCTAGTTGGTTTTGGTGCTGAAGATAAAAGATGGACGTGTGACATGGCAAATGTGAGTGGATGATCAATAAAAATAAAAACTCTAACAAATACCCTGCTTTTCCAACGAAGCTGTTCGCTCTTTTCAACTCACCTTTTCACCTGCAGCATCCTCGTCCTCTTTCTTCTTGTCCTCCTTGCCGGCAGCATTGTCCTCGTCGTCGGGCTTGAGATCACCACTCTTGATGGCTGCTGCTACCAACGTGGGGGCTGCCTTGGGTTTGTCTGACGGATGGAGGGCTTCTTCCATGTCCTCCTTTTCCTTCTCTTTTTCCAGACTACAGAACAGTGCCTCTTCTGTCTTATCAACGTCATCCTCGTCTACGAAATCCTCTTCAGATGGCTCCTTGGAAGGAACTTTGGCAATCTCGGCTGCTTGGACTGATTCAGCCGCGTTGGCGGACTCTCCTGCTGCCGTGGATGGCGACACCTTTTTTGCGCCATTGGAGCCATTCTCTCCAGGAGGGGTGCCTGCCGCTTTGCTATCAGCCCCGTCGTCATTGCTGGGCTTGTCAGTCATTGGCACTTCCTTCGAATCCTTGTCGACCTCCATAGTGGTTGTTTTAGCCGCCTTGGAGTCTCCATTCACCTTTGCGCCGTCAGCAGCACTATCAGCATCTGGTTTAATCTCCGTCTCGGACATGGTGCTTTCCCTTGATGATCCTCTTGTGTACGTTTTGGTTCAATATGACAGCGACGGTGCGGCTCGATTGTCTGTTGCCATTGTGATCATGACTACTATTTTTCACGTTTCTCGCAAACTCCAGAGCGAAAGCAGAAGGCACGGTTTAGCGTGTTTTGTTTGTTGATCTGGGCCAATGACGTGGAACCTCCACGGCCACGATGTGCGGGGTGCGGGCGAGCAAAATTTGGTGGAAGCGCCACATTCTTACTCCTCTCAACCGAGTACATGTACTCTAGCTAGTACAGTAGTCCATAGACTCGACAATGAGCTATTAAACGTACCGGTAGGGCACACTGTTCAGTTTGCTCTTGGGGTTCCTCTCATATCTTGTTCTTCTTGGTACAGTAGTTCGTTCGCTGTCTACTAAAACCCAACCTCAGAGTTTGAGTCAATCCTCCTGTTGCACCAAGCGCAAGCTGGATTACCACCTTGGATTGCCTATCCGAAATCACAAACAAAGGCCCAGACATACCCCACACTTTCCAGTTGCACCTTTCACTATTGGTATACTGTGATCCATATCATCTGAAGGAACACGAGAAGCACGCGTACAAGAGAAAAAGCCAAGTCAAGATGAAGAAGAGCATTTTTAAAATAAAAAGCAAACGAATTGCGATAAATATAGATTTCTGCAGTTGGCACTGGCGCGTATCCAACATCATTCATACTGTACTTCCGGGGTCTACCCCCATGATAATTCAACTACTCTCGTTGTTGGTAGAAGGGGATTTGGGGAACACGTGATTCTTTTCAAAGGCCATCTTTCGGATTCGGACATAGTCGCCATCCCGAAGAAACACCTTCTTCTGCAGTCGTCCCGATTTTTCGGGCTCGGCAGTTCCTTTCAGCGTATCAAATGCCAAGAATGCATGACGGGGAGACTTGAAACTGATGATGGTTTTGCCTTTGGATCCCGAAGAGAAATCAATGTCGTTGACTTGATCGGGTGCCACGGCTGTGTGCTCCAAAAACATCTTGATGATGTGCTCTCCCTTGCAGCTTTTGGGAATACGGTGAACAAACAATTGATGGTGGGTACGCCCTTCCGGAATGCCACCTGATGGAGTGCCAGCGCCTGTGGTAGCAACGCCATCGGCACGCTTGCTGTTGCGACGCTTGTTGGAGGGAGTGCGGACAATTTCTTCCACGTCACCGTCCTTTTCCCGATAAAAGTCCAGGCAAAGTAGGGCCGTGCGTGCATCGTTGACCGAGTCATGGGTATCGGGCATTTCCTTCTTGAGAATGGTCGCAGCCAAATCCTTCAAACTCACTGTAGCAGTGGGTGAATCCTTGGCCTTGAACAAGAGGGCGGAATCCGCACAACACTCGTGTTCCATCCTCATGGCGGCCAAATCGTTATGGACGGCATGTCCCATAATGACGGTTTCCTCGCTGCAAAGTGCCACCATGAAAGCCTGAGCGTGTCGCAAGGTGAACTGCACTGGATCCAAATGTTGCTTTTCAATGCCATTGACCCAGGTTCTGTAGTCAGAGACAGGCCAGTCCGGCTTGACAAGAGTATTCAACAAGACATCGTCTGGATCGTCCGCATTGACAACACTGATACGGCATAAAGCATTAAAGTTTTTGCGACCAGACACGGGATCCTTTGTTTCGCACATTTCACAATCAATGGCAATGGCCTGAGGGTTGTTGGCACACCATTTTCCAAATGGCTTTGCCTTGATCCATACATCTCCTGGGAGAGGATTTTCCTTGTACTTTGTCATGGAGAAAATTTCGTCAAAACTTGGATTGGCTTGTGTTTCCTCCACAATGTCTTTCCATTTGCGGCCAGCTTCGGATGAAGTTGGAAGAACATGTGTGGGTTGAGGTTTGGGAGCGGGAGGAGGAGGACTTTCTTTCACTTTTTCCTCCTTGGTTGGTTCCTCCTCCTTCTTGCTTTCTCCCGAGGGTAGCATGAAACTGGCAATAGGCAAATTGAGGTCACGGAATGAAGTGCCGGAAGACTGCTTCTTGTTGTTTTGAGGTTGCTGCTGTTTCTTAACTTCCGTTTTCTTCTTTTGTTTCGGTGATACCGCTGGAGTTTTAGCCGCTGCTGGTGGAGTATCCTTCTTCTCAGACGTAATGTCCTTCATAAGATCCGTGTACTTGATTTTCTTTTCGCCGCCACTGGGAGAAGCAAACACATTGGAGTTTTTTTCATTGGTTCTCTTGCGTTTCTGCTGCTGGGTTGGCTGCTGCGGTTTCTCTGTCTCGATTTCACCCTCGCTTTCTTCGCTGCTCACAACCGAGTTGCTCGTCGTGGGAGTTGCTGGAATTTCAGCAGCAGCGGTATGCAAGAATTTGCAATTGTCTCCCATCCGACAACCAGCAGGAGTGTTGAAGAAAGCGCATGGCTTCTTCGAGCCGTCTCCTGCCGCAGAGGCGAAAAGTTTGTACTTTTTGTTCTTTCCTTCCGTTGCTGTTGTCGCCATGGTTAAATTCTGTCAGATAGATGCTAAGAATAATAATGAGCACGCCAATTTGTGAAGAAGAAAGATGGCATGCATCAGCCTTTCAAGTTGGGTGGTTGTCGGTGTCAACAAGGCGAGCGCAGCACAGACGATCCAAACAAGCCAGCTAACCTATTTTACGCCGCCTCCAAACGGTTCCATTTCTGGGCATGCCAGGAAGCTGGTTTCCAAACGACGGCCTTTGCGGGACCAGGTTGTCGAGAACATGGAGGACGGTGAGTGTGGTCATGTATTTGATTTTCGTTCCTTGGAGGAGCTGTGAAATTGAAGATACTAGCTAGATAAGGCCGGCATTTTAGGGTACCTTTGGACGGTACTGTACGGTACGTCATCAAAGATTCCCTAAAATCAAACAAGCTGTTGAAGAATCTATAATTATTAATCTCAAGTTGAGACATTCCTACTTGCTGATATCAACGAGCCAACGACTGGTAACTGATTTGAACTGCACATGAGGAAAGGAATTCAGAGTATCTTTGAAGCATTCTGTTTGTTGTCGTCGGAGTGATACTGGCTAGTAGCTTACGAGTGCTCAAGATGCAGACGGCTGCTTTCGGCCTGACATGCCAATATCAGAATCCTTTGCCTGCTGCGGCTTTCGGTTTTGGGTGATTAACCAGGCCCCTGTACCCTTCCAACCTTCTCCTTCAACCACAGAGCAATAAACCTTGAGCCCAAACCACTGATTGTCAGCCAGCCATACATCCAGGGGCCCCTTGACAGGCATGTTATCCAACAAAGTCTTGGCAGCCTTGGCTGAAAGAACATAGCCATGAGTATGAAATCCATATGTCGGTCGAAACATTTGAATCGACATCGAAGGGTAATGATGCAGGTGATGTTCTTTGTCATGATGATGGTGGTGGGGCTTGGGCAACTGAAACCCATCCACCGGAAGACGGTCTCCACGATCAGAGAATCCCAGATACCAGATGTCCCAATCTTCTGGCAATACAGACCACGCCAATTGAAACCCTGTCAAGAAGTCATGATTGGCAATCGACAAGTGGTGTTGGTGAGGATCATGTTGTTGCTGCTGCTGCTGTTGCTGCTGCTGACGTCCACCTTGTCCCAAAGCAGCCTTGTTCATTGCCAGCTTGGGTGAGTAAAAGAGAGAATCATCCTCCAAGATGAGCATGTTGGCTTCGCGTTCCACATTGCCGCCACCTTCTTCTTCTTTCACCTTGGGAGCGGCCACGGCCAATTCTTTCCACAACTTGACATGGCTAAGGGCACATCCCACTTCCCCCGGTGACATCTCCTTGGTCATGGGGGGTGCAATGTGTCTATCCCACTTGGCATTTTCCGAGGCATCCCAAGTCGATTCCACAAGTTCTGCCACGGGCAAGTCCTCGGGAATGCCATCGACAGCAGAAGTACGTTCCACCTTGTGCCACAGAGAATGTCCCATTTTTTTGCCAAGCGACTGATGCAAATGCTGTTGAAAGGACTCCCAACGATCAGGACGTCGATCCAAGTTGATGCAGCATATTCTGTCAATTGCTTCTTGGAGAACATGCATTTGTTGCTTCTGAAGCGCCAAGTCTTCTTTGCGAGTGGGACTGTGATGGTGGTGGCGATTGCTGTTGTTGTCTCTTTTGGGGCTCTTTGATTTGTTGTAGTAATTCTTGTTGGTGTTGTGGTTACTGTTCCCGTGATGGTTGTGATTGCTCTTCTTTCGACCGGGAGAAGAAGCAGGTGAACGGCTTGGCCTACCGCCACCAGTGCCACCCTGCTGTCTACCTCCCTGTCGATTCTGATGGGAGTGCGCTTGATAATGCGACGGAGACTGACTGTGTGGTTTCAACTGTTGAGGCATCTTCCCCGCCTGTTGACCTCTTTTGTGCGGTGGCACATAGGCGCCGCCGCTTTTCGGCTTTTCGTTGTCGTTGCCGCTCATGGTAAGGTCCTCTTGCTGGTAGCTAAATGGTTGTTCCCTTCCTCCGTAAATGGATGACTGATCTTCCGACAAAGGCTACTAGCTAGCTAGCTTATCGGTCCTGTGAATGCAATGCAATGAACGCTTTTGCTTCGTCTTGCTGCCCGACACCTGACAGAACCCGTTGCTGTCTTTTGTGACCTTGCGACGTCTTCTGTTTGCTGTTTGTGGTTTTGCGTCTCAGTGCCACGTGGAAGCCATTTGAAGTGGCTCCATCCTGCGCACCTCCGACTGGCATTCATTTTTGGGACTGGTTCCTGTTATTGTGAGGGGTGGATGTAACCATCGTCTGCATACCGATAATGGGGAAATCTATGATGTTGCTTGCAATCTCAGGCTTTACCACCCCTAGCTAGGGTCCGCGCGCAAAGAGGAGCCTCCAAAACCAGAGGTGGCAGCAGCGACACGAACAATTGTTGAATGATCACAGGAGCGAACAAAGAAGGGAAGAGTCGGAACATTCAGAACTTTCAATAATACAAGCACCCAAAGCTTGGACCTCACACCCAAAACATTGTCTATGGTCATACCCCTGGCTGGACAGTCATTGTGAGGGGTAATGCAAGAAGGAGTTTCAAACACCCTGCCTTGTAGTAATGTGAGTGCAGTTCTGGTGCCTTCGTGTACTGCACAGGACACATCAACATGCATGCACCTACAGCATTTGTCAGAGAAGCTAACTAGCTAGGACCACTACTCTCCTCCGTCAACGATCAAACATACTTGTATACAGATACAGCCCATTCACCTCTCCGTGGCTTCAAAGTTAGTTGTCCCAAGCTACTAAAGGCAATCGTCTACATCGAACGGCGAGGATACCGGTACCGGTACCAGTACTACAACTAAACATTTTTAATTATTAGCAGAAAGAACAGAATGACTTTCGGGTCACACTGATTTCAGCGCAGTCATGATATTTTAAATACTGTATGGCCAAGTTCAATGAGACAACATACATGTACAGGATGACTTTATACACCGCTGACAGGTGTCAAAATGTGAGCGTTTTGGACGGTTATTTTCGGGTTTCGTAAATGAAGACCCAGAAGTGGTCATTTCACGAATTCTCTATTGAAATGACTGTTCCTCACAAATGCAAGATTGAAGAAATAAAAATGAATTTTATCGCCATGGCAACAGAGTTGACCAAATGGCCATTAGCTTTACCAATACATGGAGATAGCAAATCCTTTTCTAGAGCTAGCTCCCCAACACACTCACAGAGCCACCCCTCAAAAAGGATTTGCTATCTCCAAAGTTTCCTATGGAGCATCTCAGAAAAATCAGACTTGGATTCCATTTTGTTGTCACTCTGCCATGGATTTCTCCATGGAAAAGGTGCTCCAGTCCTCACTCTCAGCACTCAATCTGCACTATAGAGCCTGGTAGAGATGTGGGTGGCTTTGGATGAAGACTGGAGCACCCATCACAAGTCATCAAAGGGAATTGTTGGGATGATGGCCACAAAATTGAACAGATTTTGGAGCAGATTTCATGTTTGTAACCAGTCGAGAGCAGTAGTAGAGGAGCTGCCGCTTGTTGCTTTTGTAGTGCCACTAGCAGAGGCTTCTGCGTCGCGCCGTTCGTTCGCTTGCTCCAGGTGTCATGGTCGCTTTGATTGATTGCTCCGTGAAAGAGGCTCCGTAGAAGTGGCCGATCGATCCGTCGTTTCGTGCCATTGTCGAGGCGTCGTTAGCCGTAGCCGCTTGTTGTTGTGGTAGTAGCGCTCCGTTCGCTCGCTCCGTTCGAAGAGGAGGTGTCATGGTCGCTCCGTGTCGCTCCGTGGAAGAAGAAGTCATCAGTCACCGATCGATCGATCGATCGAACGGAAGCTCCTGTCGATACGACGATCGGCCGCTACTGCTACCAACCAAACAAGAGGAGCCTGTCATGGTGGTGAGTAGTAGCCTTTGTTAAGAGGAGTAGCCGCTGTAAAGAAGAGGAGGAAGCATCATCTTGATAGAGCAAAGATAGTGAAAGATGTATGTACGAGTGGCTTGGATGGATCTGAGTGATGTCAGTTGAGATTAAGGTTAAGGCTATATATGTCCCCTAAGTCTTTTCGAGGAACGTTCCAAGAGGTTCCGGTTTGCATTCGCATGTCTTACCGGGAGCGGGCTTGCGTTTGTCTTGATAGTTTAGATTCAGCCTGTAGCGATGCAGGCAATTCACCTCTCCCTGGGGATGAGCAAAATTGCCCATAGCCCTGCATTGTAATTGATAGCGCTTTTTGTAAAAGTGTATGTGAAAAAGCGAATATTTGTTTTGGGCTGCAATTTTTCTATTGGATTAGATCGGATTGGATTGAATTGAATTGGATTGCATTGATTTCCAGTTTACTATATAAATAGAAGTACAATTTGTAATCCAATTCAATCCAATTCAATCTAATCCAATGCAATCTAATCCAATTGAATCTTGCTTCCAGCCAAAATGTTCATTTTATCCTTTTTCTGACATTCTGAGTCACTCCTGTTGAGTACCGGTACACTACAGCCATAGCAAGATTTGCCGTTCCTCCTGGGTTCAAAGTCTATAGTGTACAGTCCAGGAAGACAGTTTTGGGGGCATAATTAAATACTTTCGTTATGTAAAAATACTACAGTTTTTAAAAATTATCTGTTTGTGACATGGTTTTGGCGATATTGGCTGGATCTGGGATCTTGGCCGAGATTGGATCTCGGCCGAGATTGGCCAGGATCCAGGAGACCGAGATCCAAGATCGACCAAGATCGCCTGCAATCCAGTCTCCTGGCCGAGATCCAAGGCGAGATCGAAGGGATCTAGATGATAATGACGAAGTCGACAAGGAGCCAACCGCTACGGCTACTGCTAACGAAGTCGACAAGGAGCCAACCTCTACCGGTACGGCTACTGCTGACGATCGACATATCGCTGTTGTTGTTGAAGCCGTCATTGTTGACCACTCACTGTCATTTTAAAAAGGGGCATAGCTTTCGCTGTTTTCATTGTTTTCGCTCGAGGTGGAATTTATGGAACGCTCAAGAGGATCGAGGCTTTGTTTCGTGCGTCGGAGAGTGAGATCTTAGTTAGAGTGATGAGTCGGAGAGGTTCCGACAGTTTACCCTCTCTTAACCTTCGGTTAGATAACGGCCAGCAGACCAGCAACAAGTCCAATTTTCGATCTTCTGGTACAAACAAATAGCCATAAGAATTGCCTCAGAATGTGGAAAAATAGTGTTGCCGCTGTGGATATGGCTTTTGTTGATTCATTCCCACGAACTACGTTGACAACACACATGGTCGGTTAAGAGAGGATCAACGAGGGATACGGATGGCCACCGACTGATAAACATGAAAGCAACTCCTCCTCTTCTGGTTCATTATTTCGTTCAATCTTCACCCTATCGTTACTCTATTACGTCTCCATGAGACGACGCACCTTTTGGTTACCCCCTCAGTTGCACTCTGAAATCGATTGGCTCGCGTTCACTGTGTAAATTAGTGTACCCGCACTTCAGTTGCAGAATCAACGGTCATGTGTATCCGTAAGTACCAAACCTGTATTTAACGTGTTTTAACATTTAGATCGATTCGTGGATAAAAAGAACCGTTGAAGGTTCTAAGGTTAAGGTTAAACCAACTCATCCCATGCGCACGTACCGGTACCAGATTGTTGAAGGTGCAGCACTGACTTCTCTCCCTCATTGAATTCGTATGGTAAACAGGAAAGAAATCCAAGCTTGGCCGACAAGAGTGGTACTAGTATGCATACCGGTAGGAGGAGTTCTTTATCCAATCGGCCGATCGATCGATCGATCGATCGATCGCAATGAGGTAAGCCTATTATCAAGAGTGTTAATTAATTGAAGGTACAGCACTGACTTCTCTCCCTCATTGGATTTCTATGGTATTCAGGAGAGAATTCCAAGCTCGGCCGTCAACAGGTGAGTTGTTTTATTCGAATCGATCGATCGCACCTCTGATTCTCTGTTATCCAAGCCTCACTCAAGCCGGTCGTCTCCGGTGTAGAAGCGAAAGCCATCCCTTATTCAATCCTATGGACCGCGGGAAGGCAGTCAGTTCTCGGCCCATGACGGCCAAGTTGGTGTAATTTGAAAAACAAGAGTAAGTCTCCGGTTGTCTGCAGTATCAGAAGAGAAGAGAAAACCATATCTATTTCTTACTTTCTATTCTCTCACTGCCGACGGCCGAGGAAATCCCATTGTCGAGGACTCCTTTTCGAACGAACGAACGAACGAACGAAGAACGATCGAGGCTACCACTACGGAGGAGGCTCTAATAACTCCAGCCCTACCAACAGCATGAACGGAGGCCACACGACAACACTCGTACGCACAGAGGAGAGTGGATCCTCCTATCGGATTCATCTTTCCAGTGTTATTTCCTAGTGTTTTGGTGGTGACTCCTGTGTCGGTACCCATTTTCCTGCATGTACATGTCAACGACTGGCTGGATTGACAATGTTCGGTTGTGCATGTATTCGTCATAAGGATCCAATGCAAGGTACCGGTAACGGAGTGTAGCCAGTAAAGCGGAACCTGAGTGTGTTCGGTATTGTTGCCACTGTCACCGATTGATGTAACTCTACGGTAACTGGCTACAATGGCTGGATTGACAATATTCGGTTGTGTATGTATTCGTCATAAGGATCCAATGCGAGGTACCGGTAACCATAGCGAGCAAAGCCGAACTTTCGGTACTGTTGCCACTGTCGTCGATGTAGCTATACCGCAGCCGGCTATAATGGCTGGATTCATAATGTTCGGTTGTGCATGCCAATGCATGATACCGTCAACGGAGTGTAGCCAGTAAAGCGGAACCTGAGTGTGTTCGGTACTGTTGACACTGTCGCCGATGTAACTGTACGGTAGCCGGCTACAATGGCTGGATTAACAATATTCGGTTTTGTGCGTGTATTCGTCATACGGATCCAATGCGAGGTAACCGAGTGCAGCGGGCAAAGTCGAACCTGAGTGTGTTCGGTACTGTTGCCACTGTCACTGATCGATGAACTCTACGATAGCTGGATACGATGGCTGGATTGACAATGTTCGGTTGTGCATGTATTCATCATAAGGATCCAATGCAAGGTACCGGTAACGGAGTGTAGCCAGTAAAGCGGAACCTGAGTGTGTTCGGTATTGTTGCCACTGTCACCGATTGATGTAACTCTACGGTAACTGGCTACAATGGCTGGATTGACAATATTCGGTTGTGTATGTATGTATCATAAGGATCCA